GGATGTTTATCTAAGAACGACCCCATGTTGAGAAAGGCGGCTGTTATCTGGAGACACGGCTGTTATACAATAAGTCTATTTAGAGAGGCTTCGAAAACATCACCAGGTGCCGACTTCATCACTAACTCACTGTGGCAGTTTGGTGGACAAAGCGAAATTGCACCAGTCGAAATACTTCATAACCAATTCAGCTTTCTAAACACAGCCTACCTGGAATAAGAAAAGCCTTTTATTGCTTCCCTTGTAAAGAAGAATTAGCTCATCAGGATTAGAGAAATCCTTTCCATTTCAATGAGTTTTGTCCTTACAGAAACAAATTGCTTTTTGGTGGGCAGTGTATGATGGTGAGTGTGAGTGTTTGTGTGAGAATGTGGATGAATATGGTAAGCGTGCAAGCACTCTTAAACGCAAGATTTTCAGTGCTGAAATCCAGCATTTACGTTACACATTTAACATGTGGGGTAAGAATGATTATCCTTACCCTTACCTTATGGGATGTTTAGTGACAAACATATTAAATAAATGGATCATATTTTTTATGTTAACATTTAATCCATAGTAGCACATATGAAAACTATCATTTTGATTCTGATTGTTTACACCTTGATCATGATGAACAATCCACCACAACACCACGCATAATAGCACAAAGGCAACTGTTGGCCCACTTTTCTTACTTGACTAAAGATCTGGCTACTTGGAGATCTCAGGTTGAGAATGGCGTCTGTACCCGGGTACAGGACAGCAGACATCGTTGAGAGGGTTGAGACGGAGGAAATGACTTACGTTGGAGGACTTTAAACATCGCTTATTTCACTGCCTTGCCTCTTCAGTCCATTTGCTGTGCAAAAGGGGTCAGGAAAATATACATCTTGACCTCGCCAGGGTGGAATCTTTTTCATCATTTTAGGCTAAATGTCGCAATGCTTTAATTCCACTGATGTTCTTGAAAAATACAAGATGCTGCATGCATGCTGTCTACTGATCAGGGCGTAAAGTGTTAAGGAGTTACAACACACTGGAGCCTTGAGTTTAGACATGCCACTGCTGCTACAGAATTAATGAATTGTGCAGTAGCTGAGTGCATTACCCTTGGGGTGGGGACTGTTGGAATCTGCCACTTTAGCTCCCAGGGAAAATCTGCAACAATCTCCACAAACGGCAGCTTTAAAAGGCCAGCGACAGAACGGGCTTGGAGCTTCTGTCTGGGCTAGCGAGCTGCGCAGTGGCACTCATGGGCACAGCCAAACCTACAGCTGCGAAACCATCCTCTACTGCTGCCACTTTTTAGCAACCAGGACGACATGATACCAGACATCACAGCAGACAAATCTGAATCAACAAGACCCGTGTTACATAATTTGCATGTCATTAGCAAAAATGCCAGTTGTGCGACATTTCAGTTCTGCAGCCTTGTGGCTGGAAAAACATCAGCTTTTCAGCTTTTGTGCATTCATTTTTAACACGCTATGTCCTATGACACTTCCTGGCCATTAAACGTGGCTTTCATCTTTAGGTGGTCGCTCCCTATCGGCCCCTACCCTTCACACCTGCCTTCCCTGCCAAACTCCAGTCTGGGTGCTCCTTGCTCTCTGCAATTCGGCACACTCTCGGCAAAGCCACAGACCCCAAGGTGTTCAAACTGGGGCCTCCACGTCGTGCATTTCCAGGTAGGCGACTTTTGCCAGTTATCAAACCCTTTGCCAAACGGCAACTAATGCCATTTACAAAACCATTTCCCTAGATTGCATATATATTTTTTACATGCCCTCTTATTTTAAAAAGAGCACCCTGGTGTGTTCTTCTTTTCATCTACTTTCAGAGCCAATTAATGTTCAGCCAATCATGGATTCTGGATCGTGTCCCAGAACCACTTAAGCACCACAAAGCTTCCTTGTGGCATCCGCATTGTGCCATTATTCCAGAGGAGGAGATGATGTGCTGACTTACTACTGCAGCACATTCCTTTATTTTCACTTTTTTTTTTAATTGAAAAACTCTCTCCCCCCACTGCCTTTTTTTTGCTGTTGAATCATGCTGTTCTTTCACATTCGCAGGTGGCTGACGGTATTTCAAGACGTCTCGGCATGCATTTTTCATTTGCTGTGAAAGTGAAAATCAGTCTCTTACAGGAAAAATCAAACAAGAATACCGCCGGCTAACCCCACCTCCAACATGTAGCTTGAATCAATTTCCAAATTCAGCATTCACTATTTCAGTGTGTGTTTTTGCACCAAAAAAGTCTTTGCAGCAGGCATATAGTCAGAACTATAAAGCACTAACTGACTACAGAGAATGAAGTGATTATGCTATCACCTAACAATGGAACCTTTTTAAACTCCTGAAGAGTATCTCATGATACAGCTTTGATAGAGGTTTTTTTTTTCCCCCACAAAGGCCATTATACAGGTAGTGCACAGTTGCACAGCTCCGTAGGATTAACTTCAGTTCAAATCTTTAATGTGTAGAAGTGCACATTAACTAGTTCAAGTGCATAGCAACAGTGACATATCTAAAAACCTAACGGAATCCATCACATTCCCACGGGCACCAGATTCCACAGATTCTCACTCCTCACTACCAGCCTAGTGTTAGCCTCTGCTATTGTCCCTTGTCTTGTAACCACCCCAAAGCCACGTACGTGCTCCATCCACAGCCCTTGTGTTTAGCCCTTGTTGAGTCGAGCTGGTCTCTGTTGCCTAAAACAGGCGGACGGAGATTTAACAGAATGTGCTTGTGTCCCCACGTGAGGGTTGTCCTATTTTTCCGGCGTGAACCGTATCTGCTGCAGTGTTCTCCAAAACAGCACAATAAAACGGAGGCATAATATCGCAAGTGTACAGGAACATAAGAAAGCCTAGGGAGGAGAGGAGGCCAGTTGGCCTGTCCAGCTCATTTGCTCTGGGCTTGATCAGCTCTGACTGACTGCCAGGCACAGAGCAGAGCCACATCCATCCCCCAGACAAAGGCATGAAGAGTGACTCAATCTGCTGAGGAGGGACAAGGGCATTAAAAGCAGATTTGTAATCCACTTGCCTTGTTAGTGTGTGAGGAGCCTCTCGGTGCTGTAACATGAAATTAAATGAAAGGCCTGGACTCACGATATCGAGTACAACACACATCGACTCTGCTCATCTGATGTGCAGATTGAAATGGCTCGAGGTGTGAATCAGTAACAGGTTTTAAATACGGCGGTAGCCTATATTCAAAAACATCCATGATAAGCAAGGTATAGGCCACAGGCCTTTAGTCATTGACACAAGTCACTGTTGAGTTTTAGGGTCAGGAATTATGCTAGAATCCAATCTGAGATAATCATTGTAAATATCTGTAATAACAGGGGTGAGATGAACAGCATAATACTGCACTTCAGGCTGGATGGATGCTTTCTTATGGAGTGTAGAACTATCCACTATTTTGATCACTGTTGCAGGTTATTTTATTACAGATCTCTTCCATTTATCCTAATTGACCTTCTCACCGCCAGATGAATAGCCTATAGAGGAGAGTCTAAAAGAAGCCTTCACTGCTCACAGTTTTGATGAATCAATCTCTTCACACCTCAGCCCCTCTTCATAGCGGCAGAAAGCAGGTGCATTTACAATCTGATCACACTTGGAAAACTCTTGCAGCCAAGTCGCTGCCCAAACAGGACAGCAGCTAATTAGATTTCCTGCTGTGAAATTAACACAATGATTTACATTTTAATTAGCAACAGTGGTGAGGTCAACAGTAATCAACCCCAGTAAAATAGCAATTGAAAATGTGAAAACTCTTGGATCTTGGAATTGTCAGGCCCCGGCTATAGCTAAACAGTCCTACAGCATGAAGAAATTACAAAACCCACTACGAAGAGCCTTGCTGTTCTCATTACATAAAAAGGACTGATTAACTACTAATCTGGGTGCAGACAGAGACAGGTCTGATCCATTCAGAGCCAAATGCAATGACTGTTTTTGCCTATTTGTATTCTTGCAGTCCACATAAATAAAACGAAGACATAAAAGAGTAAAAATAAAAACTGCAGTGTGTATACACATACAGACTGTTCTCTTGTAAATTAGACTGAGAAATTTTCAAACCACCCTTGAACACAAGAGAGCTATTGCTCTCTTCTGCTTGGGTGGATCCATTACATTCTCCTTTGACATTTCAGTGTTAAACACCAAGGCCTAAGCAAAAAAAAGCTGGTGGAGACATTTCTTCTTGTGCTATTTATTTTAGACTCTTTAAAAGCAAGGCAGCTTACGGCAAGTTGATATATCAAGACCAGGGTAGCACCAACAACACCCTTCACTTACGTAACTACAACCAGGTGTACAATTGCTGATATGAACAAAACCAAACCAGGAGAATTTTGCGCTTTGGATAATTCATGGCATCTGCAGCCAGTTCTATTACTGAGAACCTCCCGGTACATGGAGAAGAAAGAAAGCAGGTTGCATTTATCCGCAAGTCATTTTTTTTAGGTCATACCTTATCTGTGCTGTAATGGAATAAGGAGAAGAAGGGATGGAGGTGCTTACTGCTAGCATTAAGGATAACTGGAGGTATCGATTTGTAATTCTAATTTAAAAGGTAAATGCTCAAGAACGACGTGGTGTTTGAATGTGAAAAGCTGCTGAAAAAAATATAGACTGTGTGTTTTACACCTTGAAACAGCACCGTTCCATTTTAGTAAGCATGTCTTAGGATGGGCGTTTCAGAAAGAACTTCATGAAAGAATCACGACTCCTTAAACGAAAAGAGCCAATCCAGCTAAGATAATAATAAATAATAATCAACTTTATTTTATATAGCGATGAAGAACTCTAGCTAGTGCAGGTTTCTGAGCAGTGTTCTTTATGTGCTGTTTGTAACACCAGGTTAAAATAATAGAAAAACAGGCATTCATTCAACTCTAGATCTGGCTCCTGTGCTGGAACTGCATGCATGTTCTGCAATGGAATGTTCTCAATATTGCCTGGCAACCGCCAAGCACATTGGCACACATTGCTTACCGTGACAATGAGCCCCTTCTCCTGGAAGTACTTGACGAGAGGGATGGCATTCTGCTTGAAGTTGGTCAGGCGGCGCTCCGTGGCTTTGGGGTTGTCATCAGGCCTCCCCTGCAGCTCCGCCCTCCTCTCGAGCCGCTCCTTCAGCCTGTGGCTGGCACAGGCCAGGAACACCACCAGGTCCGGGGTGCAGATCTGTGAAGAGACGTCAGTCATCTGTCACATGGTGTGCTCAGTTTAGGTCCATCCCAGGTCATTCAAGCGCTGCTTTGGAAGAACCTAACAATGCTGGCTTTAGGAACAATGCCTTTTATGTGAAACACAATTCAGGTTTATGGTGTGTATTTACAAGCCTGCAGTCCCTGTGAATTTTGGGAATTGGTATTAATTAGCCACCGCTGTTTCACAATACTGTGGAATGGCAGATCCATCTGGCCTCCCAGACAGCCCTTTAGATAAGATAAGACTTTATTGACCCCAAAGGGAAATTGACGAAGTAGGGCTTATCAATTTTCATGGGTCAAACTTAGCTATGCCACACTGATGAGCCCAAATAAGCATCCATGGCTTTCCACTGACTGTCCAAACAGCTGTCCATGGCTGCCAATAATGGCTTTATATACAGTACACACAACACAATTTAGAATTAGAAGTTTCTTGAGGTGGTCTACCCTTGTCAGTATGATGAAACACTAAGAGCTGGTAGTCATTCCAATAATATATATATATAAGGTGCATGTGAAGGAGAATATTATTCTGTCTCAGCTGTAATGCACTGGACAAATAAATAAATCAGATCCCAGGGGATGATAGGCATAAACAGTGAAATTACCATTAATTTATGCTGCACTACCAGCAGGCAGCATGCTACTCATATTTAATCGTAGTTTACAGCCATTAACACTGATGCAGAGTTACTCATAATGTATAATGTCTTCATAAACAATTTTCAGTTCACGCAAACAGCAGTTATCTAGGTACTACAGTACGTGCCGTGTTTGCTGAAGAAATGTCCTCTTTCTCAAAATCTTAAAAATAGTCTTTTATATACTTCTGTAATTATGAAAAGCAGTGCTGAGTGTTAAACTAGGGCATTCCTTGCTTAAAAGAAGATAATTATGTTTTAAAAATAACTGCAGTTCCAGAAGACCATGCAAAGAGGGGTTTCCTCCCGTGTGGCCCCCATAGTTCCTGGGGAGTGTGCTGCTGTTATTCTGTGATGGTTCAGGAGGACAGGGCTGGGGCTCCAGGTTTAGGAAGTCCCCTGATTTTGTTACAGTAAATTAGAGGCCACCACAGAGCCCCCACTATCTGAGCAGTGCTCCACCCCTCGGAATGAGAGGGGTTGGGCTGAAGCCATGTCTCCTTGTCTAAAGCGCCCCTGTGCCCACCCCCACACTGCTGCGGTCCTGTGCACACATCTCAGCGCAGGAGACCAGGCCAAAGACCCACTTTTGGCCAAGTCTTACATCAGACGTTTTTTCCAGCTTTCTTAATGTCTTTCACAACAAACTCCTCTCTCTTGGTAAGCCAGCAGCCACATCAGCCTGCATCTCCCGGCTGGCAACCCACTGAAGCTCAGCGGGTGTGAGCCTAGCCAGTGCCTGGATGGGAGACCTACTGGGAAACACTAAGGTTGCTGCTGGAAGAGGTGTTAGTGGGGCCAGCAGGAGGCGCTCACCCTGCAGTCTGTGTGGGTCCTAATGCCCCAGGATAAAGATGGGGACACTAAACTGTGAGATGGCACTGTCCTTTGGATAAGACATAAAATTGAGGACCTGACTCTCTGTGGTCATTAAAAATCCCAGGGCGTTTCTTGAAAAGAGTAGGAGTGCTACCCCTGCGTCCTGGCCATATTTTCCCATGGTCTTTACCAGTCATGGCCTCCTAATTATCCCCATCTCTGAACTGGCTTCATCACTCTGCTCTCCTCCCCACTGAGAGCTGGTGTGTGGTTGGCGTACTGGCGCACCATCCAGGTGGGGCTGCACACTGGTGGTGGTGGAGGGGATCCCCATTACCTGTAAAGCGCCGTGAGTGAGTCTCCAGAAAAGCGCTATTTATGTGTAAGGATTTATTATTATAAAGCATGTACTTGCAAGAGGCCATCGACAGCAGCTAAAAAAAACTGGGCTCAGAATTAGATTTCTCATATCTTTAGCTCTCCTTTGGACAATTAGAATAATGAGTTTAATTGTTTATTGCTTAACTCTACAGCGTGCTCTGTACTACCATATGCACAAATCAAAAGAAAAATTTCTGAATTAAAACATGATGTTGAAGGGGCATCTGGTATGCATCTTGAGGGTCTCAGTTAGCCTATATAATAGTATGTTGTATAAAAATGTGGTTCAATAAGATAAGATAGATAATACTTTATTAATCCCGTAGGGAAATTGATGTGTAACAGTGATAAACCCATGTTCGTGTAAATATATTCAATTATTTTTACGCCAACAAAACGTACATTGGGTGTCCTCATTCTGACCACACATAATCATCTTTGGCTATAAAACCATCTGGTCAGTCAGATGACGAGACTGGCGTGCTGGAGAGACACTGCGGGACTCTGATTCACTGTAATAGTAGTTGTACTTTCTGAACAACAATTTGTAAATTACACACAGGAATATGCAGGACTGGACTGGGGTCTTTTCTATTGTTATCGATTTATACAGTCGCTATTTGAAATGTCAAGCCTTTATTTTGGGTTAGAGACCATTAAAGGCAGGCATGTCTTGTAGTCTCGATGTTAGCTTCAGTCAGCATCTGGTAATTACACAGCTCTGAATGTGAGGGGAATCTGTGCTGGTAGTTTAGACTGCCAGAATCAATCGTATGTCTCTTCTTAGCCTTGTACTTATTTCAGCCTTACAGAGAGTTCTATATAGCCTCAGACATGCAGCTTAGAAATGGCTAGCATGCACTTGTCATCTGGCACTGCAGTGTGAGAGAATAAGTGATTGCACCATTTTTTCTTCTTTAATCCCTGAGGTTTCACATCAAAATCACAGAGAAGATTTAGTGTGAGCTTTACCGAACAGGATTGGTAGATTACAGCTCTCACAGAGATCTGTGGATTTGGTTTGTTTTTAGGCTGACCTGCATTTTGTATCACCATCTCACGCCGGAATGCAGTTCCCTGCAGGCTGTTGCTAGTCGCAACCACAAAACTGCAAAACTGAAGTAAAAATGGAGGCATGTGGAACAACTGAGCCGCACTGCGAATGGATTCAAGACAATTTTTCTGAGACGCAGATATGACAGACACAGCATGGACACGCCATACCAGAGAAACAGCACTAACGAGTCTCCCTCACAGCACCGGTATTTCATTTCTGTCCTGCCATTCCAATAACTGCAGGAGGTGCTCTGACAACAGAGAGACCGGCAAATTAGTTTGCCCCTAATTAGGTCACATGCCTTTTAGCTGCTGTAGCTGACATCTATTCTTAGGCATCTCACACCTTCTTAGTTAAAACAAGGGGCATATCAATGTAATTGGCTGTCTTGTCTCCAAGATAAACAGGAAGACAGTGAATCTGCCGTCTCTCACTTTCAGGATCCACTGTTGTCGCTGATATTCTTAAAGCAATTATACAGGCAACAAAACATGCTCCTGCTAGGCCTAATTTTTCATTAAACAATGCGTTTCTTTCACATTGACTTCCATTTTGTCCTGAAAGCCTTTTCTCTCTTTTCTTAGACATGGCTAAATTTCCTTTTTTTCATCACTGGAGAGGTAATAGGGGCAGTTTGACAGGAACAAACCGTCATTCTCCTGTGACATTCACTTTACGTTCTGTATCTGATTATAGTACTGAGGTATCAGTACAAAAGCCTGCACTTTAAAGGAAATAGCCCTACACTCAATTAAGCAGCACGGTTTTCAATTGAATTTCTTAGGTTCTTAGGTGAGATGAAAAACTGTAGATGTGAGCATTGTGCTGGCTGTGTTGCTATTTCAGTCTTCGGTCCTGCAAAATTTAATCCGTCTCAGCTGATTGGATTCATGTTCAAGTACAATGAGAGGCATACAAAGACAGTTTGGCCCCCATCCAGGCGATCCCTACTGTGTCCACACCATTTTCTTGAAGGGGTTTCATTCTCTGTTTTGACACAGCCAAATGCTCCACAGAGGTTAAACTGCCTGTCGGATGTTTGCATTTTCACCAGCTGTAGCTCTGATGTTGCAGGACCGCCAGACGTAACTCTCCCTGCTCCTGCCAGGATTCGATCCCGGTTACTCACGAGCTCACAGCATGTACAAGACCACTGCCTACAGGGCGGGTAACTCAACCAGAATCTACCTGCTCTGCCCCAGTCACATGTCACACTGTCTTCATCTCAGAGATCTCAGAGGGGGGTGACATCACTTCTGTAACCAGCTCAGTGCACTGGGCCCTGTGACACAATGATGATCACTGAAGCAGCCCAGATACCTCAAGGTGACAGAAACTGGTGCTCCACCAGAAGCCCAACTTAGCTATGATCTCAGCTGACTGGGAGATGAAAAGAAAGCTGTCCGACTGGGTGGAAACTGAGATAGGAGGGGCAGCACTCGGGTTAAAAAAGAGTTTTGCACACTAGCTACCCCTTTGCAGTTTGTCAGAGGGACAATGTGCAGAACCAGGAGTTGAGCTCTCAGCTGAGCTGGACACAAAGCTCATGCTGATGGAGTTAATGCCCATGACGGCTATAGGTGAAATCTGAAGGCTGGGTGACACAGTGTCAATTACTGATTAAAAGTGTGTCACTTAACACCGTGTGAGAAATAGGATTATTTTTACCCACCCACGTCCATTTTTAATATTTATTGACCTAGCTCCTTTTTTGCATATACTGTAGATGCCCACAGACCGTATAAAACACTTGCCACACATGCACACAGTTAATCACAGATGGAGCCCTGCTAAGAGGTAATGTAACATTTCATCAGCGCCGCCTACACAAGTACAGTTTTTAGCAATAAGATTTTTAACCCTGTCTGGAGCATCACTCAGCGTTTCATGGTGTTAAATTGATTACAGGCGAAAGCAATATGACGTGCATTTGTAAAAAGAAAACTGAGTTGGTAATGGATGCTGTTACCACCGTGACTCCAAATTCTAGTGACTAGCAAAACCTAATGTATTCCTGAAATGTTTTGATGAAATAAGGACTAGAGGAGCTTACCTGGTCTTCAAAAGACAACGCCTGGCCAACGTCACGAGGAAAGCCATCGATTACTATCCCATGGGCATCTGGGATCTGCATGATTTTCTGTTTTATCTCTGTAATCGTGGTTTCCTGGAGGGAAGCACAGTCTTTGGTCAAAAAAATTTAAAAGATGTTTTTTTTTTACATTTTAGAAACAGCTCTATGTATTTATTAGTGTCTGTCATATTTACACAAAGATGAATCACAGAAGGTTTCAATAATGACCAGCCCGGTGCTGGGAAGAAGGGTGTTTCATTGGAAGCTGGGAAGTCCCAGGAATAAGAGACATGCAGGTGTGGAATTTCCCTTGAAAAACCTTTTTAGGCGGAGATCACAGAAGGTGCTGTTTGTACCCTAATCCAAGCCAGACTATGCCTGGATCTACGACACACTTGCACAATGTACAGGGTTTAACCAAATTGCCTGCGCTTGCTTAACTGCTTATGCAAACACAAGAACCAGACGAAAAACAAAGCACATTAAACAAAGACGTAAAAGGAAACATATCCCAGAACTGAGCTTCCAGAGGCTGCATCAGTCAGATTTAATACCTCGCACCTTCTGTGCTCCTTATCCATTGATCCCTCTACATTCAGTTTAAATAGCGGGTGGGCTCCCCAGTCATGCGTCCATCTTTGTTTAATTCTTGGTCACTTACAGGACTGGAAATCCCTTCATCACTTATGACTCCTGAAGAGTCAAACTTCTCTGCTTACAGCAAATATACACATGTATGTAGGCGTGTCCACAGATACAAAACCCATCTTCTAAAGCAGTGTCCAGTAATGATGCACGGTCTGTCTCGGACAAACTGAGAGAAATATCATCTGCGCTTCACAGCACCACCCTTTACATCATTAAAACGTCTCTTCCTTAAGCTCATTCCTCAGACCTACGGGTGCTTTGTGCCACAATGTTATGTTCTCAAAAAGAAAATCATGCTCTTCCAAATACATTATTTCACTAACTGCTCTGCTCCCAGGGGGCTTGCACTGGATGGTTACTGCTTAACATTAATTATGCCAGTTGTGTCAATAGTAGATGAAAGGCTTGTTTTTAATTAACGAATAACAATTCTCACTTTGCCAATGTAATTCTGATCCTAGCTATTGAAATTTCACAATATACTTCTGCTGGGTGGGAAATGATAAGCTTTTCAGGAATGAGAAGCTGGTATTATAGGACTTCAAACCTCAAGGTTTTACTAGACTAATGGTTTATACCTGTGGTGCCAGTTCTCCATTTGTAATTATTTTAGCAATTAAACTCCATTTCCTGTTGCTGGTGGCATTGTGGATCATCTTCTTTCTGAGAAGTTCGCCAACAGAGATGTATTCAAAGCCATAGCGTTCTGCGATCTTCAGGCTCTGGGTACCTTTGCCACTGCCCGGACCGCCTGCGAAGTTAAAAAAGAACGGGGTTGCTATGTGACAAGCAGATGAAAGGGAACATATTTTTAGACTTTACAAACGGAATAGGAAGATTGTTGATCCTCATTACTTCTTCATCGAGTCTAAAATCCTCAAACAGAAAGGCTGGGAAATCAATGGGCATGAGAGAGAAGGTCAGCAGGTCAGCTGAGAGCGCCGTCAATATTTTGCCACCAGAGAAATGTTACACTCGGCTTTATTAAATATTTAGTATTGACAACCTGTTGGCCTTTTAAAAAAGCATTTATTTCTTAATACAGGACGGGTCGCATATCAACACTTCATGAAATGTCTTTCTAGCAGGGAGGAGGGGTGTTCATAATGACACCACTGCAGTTTTGCAAGGTCTTGACTGCATCTCTCCTGTGATGTCCTGAGAGGGACAGCACAGTGTGCAGAGAAAGAGACTCCATTGTCTGTTTTTTCACAGAGGGCAACGGGAATCCACAGCCTTAGGCATCACAATTTAAATGCAGACATGTTGGGGGGGAAATTCATACAAAAAATGAATAATGCATTCAGGCTATCCACTGAGGCTTTGAGCCTAGGTCATGTTCCCTTGTCTCAAGAGCCTACACTTCACCTCCTGGGCCTGGGATGATTTCGGGAAGCTGAGGTCACTGTTTGTAGCCTGTGTTGGGTTTGAATCAGCGTACAGAAGAAGAGAAGATGTCTCTGCAGGTGGATAGAATCACAATTTAACAGCTTATCCCCCAGAATGCAGCTTCTTCTGGTGTGTGTGTGTGTGTGTGTGTGGAGGGTGCTGAGTCCCTACTGATGCACCTCGAGAATCTTTTTAAAGCATGCAACCTGCTCAGCAGAAGAGAATATGCTGTTTCCATGCAGAGCAGACAACAGAAAAAAACTAATCTGAAGTGAAAGGAAAAGTGAAGTGCACGCTGCACTTAAAACATGATCACGCAATTCTGATTTTTTTGTTATCGAGATACAAAGTTCTGAGTCATAGCAATTTTCTTTTTATGTCGAATCTGTCAAGGCCAATGCCTTTTGAGTTGATGACACTGGGCTCCTTGCTGAAAAGCCCAAAGACACAGGCTGTCTCTTCTTATTCGGGCAGATTCTCCTGTCCGGACCACAGCTTGTCAGTCCCACACAAGCTGAAGATGTGACTGTGCACAGCGGTAAATGAGCAGGGCTTAAAGCAAGGTCTTAGGGTTAACCTTTCGTTTACAGAACATGACTGGAGAGAGCCACATGGCTTCCACTAGGATTTGCAGGACGCTTAAACACTCAGCATGGCTGACGGTGACATTTCATATTCACTTTCCGCATATCTAAGCATGTCTGCAACTGAAAGGAACTATTCCCATCTTAAATCTGCCATAATCTGTCCTTCAGTTATCGTAGCCTTATTTAATAATTGTTCACTGAACGTTTTGCTCTGTTAGTTCCCGGCTTATCTTAAAAGGGCAGCAATTTATAATCCTCTCTTTGAAATATGTTAACCTGTCAAAAGCTAATCATAGCAAGAAAATCCAAATACTGTATTTGTCATTTTTGAACGAGGTCAGAACGAGGTGTAGTACACGATGACTATCAGTGCAAAGCAGAAAAATTAATAAGGATGCATGATTGCTGAAGAGCTAACAATCTCTCTCTAACCTTTTGAATACATTTTAATGCCAAAGACAGGAACTGGGCAATCAGTGAAAAATTGCAAAGGTTTCCAAGGGCTCAAATTAAACATTACCGCAAAGGTAGTTTTCTTTTCAAAAGCACACCTAGGGCTTGCAAAAAATGAAAAAAAAAAGTCAACACATACAGACTTTATCATCTTGTTATTTAAACGTGAAAATCAATTATCACAAGTATTTCATCCAGATACAATTGCTTCCCAAAAATATTCTGTCTAATTAAGACAGGCCTGTAATTCAACAAAAAGTTGTCAGTGCTTTCTGGGAATCCTTGAAATGACTGTGGTTAATTTCCAAACCTGCTTATCCACATATCCGCATATCCACAGAGGATGGCCTGAAGATTAAATGCTTGGTGCTTTCTATTTCCTGTCTCTTGTCTCATTTCTAGGCATTGCAGCTACAGTCTCTCAACTCACAGAACAGGGCCGATACAGTAGGTTCATTACAAACGGCTCCCTTACTTAAGCTCTTTGGTTGTAAATTACCAAAACTTTTTCAATACTAAGATTCCTATGTACTTATACTTCTACAAAACATACAAAGTTAGAGTCATTTTCTTTGCAAATAAGGCCTTATAATTTGTTATTCTGGATTCATAAGTTTGTTAAAATTGATGTTCGCTGCTGTTAATACAGACCACTTGTGTGTAGGTGGACTGTGATTGTTGGTTTACGTAGGATGCAATTTTGTTTTTTACAAAAACCACTTGTTCTAGGAGCGAAAGTACTTCTAGTTTGTTTGAAATTGGGGAATTTAATCCCAGATTTTCTGAACTGTTATCTTGTGGCATAAAATGTTCAGCCAGCTTCTTTTCATTGACAAACTCTGCACTTTATTATATACAAATGATGTTTTTTAACATTAACATAATGTTTTTTTAACTTTTAATAAATTTGCATTTATTTATATTTTGAATTAATATACATCTATTTATTGTTTTATTTATAAATATATTTCTTTATAAAATCAAATATAAATTTTTGAGTGCTCCCTAACATTGAATTATAGTGTGTTTTGGTGCTGTAACCAATTTGCATATTTTTCATAAGATGGTAATTCGCTTTTCAAATTTAATTTAAACATAACTGAAATGTAGAGCTTTTGAAACCCAAAATGATTCCTTTTTTCACTGCTGGAAAACACTAGCCCTAATCATAACCAGCAGTTGGGAACAAAAGTGATAAATTAAATAACTTTAGCAGAGGTTCATTTACAGTAACTGTAAAGGTTCACAACTCTTACAGCAACTTAAAAATGAGTATTTTTATGAAAAAAGGAACAAATGTTATATATGGTAGGTTTGTGGTTCTAAAGAAATTAAAGCAAATATCTCCAACTCACAGAGAAATTGGAACTGACTGTTCAATTTGTGACAGTAGGTCAACAGAATTCTAGAAATGTAGGACAGAAGCTTGTAGTGATGTCAATAAGACCGTTAATAAGAGAATACATTTAGCTTGAACTGCCCAAACAAACCAGTTTCTTACAGTGCTGTCCTTTGCTGTTTCATGCCTTGGAAAAAATATCATAATCTTTTAACAGCAGAAAACATTAAGACCGCCTTGTGGATGACCAAATTCTAACAAATATGGAGTTTCTTAATAAAACCTGAGGGGAAAACTCAGTTTCAGTTAAACGACCATTTTAGTTATGGTCACTTTTCTTACCTATTAAGAGTATGATCTTGGGACGAGGTCTAGTGGGGTCGAATACTTCATACTCCTCAATGAGTTCTGCTGTTTCGGACAAGTCGGTGTCGCTCTCAATGGAAAACTGGTGGATCGGAGGCAAGCGGTCATACCGTCGGTAAGGGAAATTAGGGCTATCTGGCAACACTGAAGGGGGAAGAGAAACAAAGAGCCGATTTACAAAAATTGCAGCATGGAGAACAAGGTGAATCTGTCTCTGGAAGAGCCATGTGACAACAGGATAAGAGATTATACATGTGAAATCTTAGCAAGCGTGCAGGAGGAGGTTGAACCCTACCCTGGCCCACACATGACATGAAAATATCCCGATTCCGGATCCCCCGCTCACACATTATTATTTTCACCTCTCCCTCCACCTGCACCCTTGCAACTCGAATCACCCCTACAGCGGCTCCCTAGCTCATTCCTTGTGAAATGTGTGTGTGTGTGGTGGTGGTGGTGGTGGTGGTGGTGGAGGAGGGTGATAGCTTATGGTCATGAAGCAGTTCCATCAGCCAGGGAAGTGAACAGAATAAAGCAGCTAATCCAAATCACACCACTGCTCCTTCTGAATTAGTTTGGCCAAATTTCACAGCGGACCAATAGAACGGTTTAATTAAAACGGCAGACATTGAAGCAGGCAAATAGCTGGTTGTGACCAGGTATCGTATCTCTAATCTTATCCACGGATCTACAGTCCCATTTTACAGCCCCTGTTTACTGGGTTCAGGCCTGAATAAGCGCAGAAGCATTGCAGAAGGGAAAAATATTTCTTCCCTCATAAAGGTGCTGGTTTGAAAAACCACGGCACCTACAAAGTTTTCGCCTGCACGCATGAACTGGAGAACTGTGGCAGTTTTTCATAGGATTTCCATATCTCATGACCACAATAAAAGTTTTGTTTTGTTTTTATATGCAGTAGTCCTGCCCTTCAGGTATTATTCAGATAAGGGTATCGTCCTATCTCACAAAGACACCTGTTGATGGATTACATTGCAGTCGCAACAATATTCAGCAAAGTCTATTGCCCAAAACGACAAATCTTCGGAGCCTGTTTTTCTCGCATTTTGCATCAAAGCTGTTTTGAAGCAAAACATGCCATTCTTGATAGCTGTTCATCCCACACCTCAACCTGAACTGCTGACTGCAGGCGAACATTGTGCATTGTGAATGCACACTTACCGTTTCTGAAGAATGACCTTCTGCACTGTCCGCCATTGAGTGGGGGTAAAGATTTTTTTTCTTGGCCGACAAATGTGTCCCATCGGACCTTCTCGGTTCCTCCAAGCTCCCTCACCTTCTTCAGACAGCTCTCCAAGTACTCCACTGGGTCATCCGGCCGATAGTACATCAAGCCAGTTAGCAGGCTCTGCAACAGCAATGCACGGAGTAAACACCTCACCCCTTGCTTCCTGGACGGCTCATTTTCAATCCTGAAGTGCTTTGTGTGTTTAACAGGACCCACTTCCTCACCAGTGAACTACAGAGCCTTTGTGGCAAGACGTGGCACCCATTGCATGCGGGCTGCCTCACTGCCGCCTGTACCTCTTATTATCCATTCATGCTACATCTGAATTCTTAGCCCTACAGTTTTTTTACTTATTATTTTCAATTATTGTTATTATTGACGTTGTTGTTGTTTATAATAATATTTATAATGGTTCATAAAACATTTAATAAATGCATGCATTGTGTTATCTAAATATTATTTCACTTGGAATAACAACACCCAGGAATGAAGTGTCCTGAAAGGATTGTGGAGTGTTTAGTGAAAATTTGGCTGAACCCACTCGGCCGGAGGACGAGGAGGCTGGGACCCCCATGCATAGCTCGGAGTGACCAAGAGGCAGTTGCTGAAGTGGAGATGGGGTGGCGCTGGGATGCGGAAAGATGCAATCCAGGGAGGGAAGGAGATCAGTACAGTATTTACAGTGTTTCAAGGGAGGAAATGAGATCAGGAGTGACTGCTAATTACTGATTGCATTCGATTGTTGTCATCCCTCCCAAATGTTTGACACAAACTCCCATTACAAATATTGGTATAGAGTATATAATATAAATGATAAAATCCTTTTTTAATTCAGAATACTAGATTATTATATTGTATTATTATTTATTAAAAATATCAGTGTTGTCTTACATTGTAATATTTCACATGAACCCGCAAAGTCCAGCTTGCAGGCTTCTTAAGAATCACAATCCATTTGAAAGTTGAAGCTTGACGCACATTGCTCCAGTACTCTGAAAATACTGGCTTTAAACTTAAGAGCTTCCCATGTTATAGAACCGTAGGCAAGAATGAAACTCCTGTATCACCTGTGGCCCATTTACTGAAATATTTTTACTAAAATGTAAGCAAGCTGATTCTAGGGAGCATTATAAGATAATTTAATTAGATTAAATTAGAGAATGCCAAATAACGAGAACTATTTTGGAGGCCAACCTTTTTTTGGAGTTGTAATTTGTACATTTTAAAATTTGCTGCATATTATTGATCACATTTCCATGAAATTAAAATGTACCCTCGTGATTAGTTGTAATCCCTGTGAAAACTACTCATTAAGCAATATGTAATGTACTGTAAGCAATGAAGTCTGTCTCCTTAAAGACAATTTCATTAATTGCTTTTGTTTGCTTTGTTCTTCAGTAGTTGAGCACTTTACAAAAATATTGCCATGGATGGTGTTCTGTAACTTAAAAGCTGATGTTGCGTCACTGACCAGCTTTGAATTCTCTCTCCGGTTCTCTCCTAACCTCCTCTGTTGAAGACAGAGAAGATTCAGCTCCTTCTGACACATACTGTTATTGCATTACATTATTCAGACGCCTAATGTCCAGCATGTGAAAATTGAGTTGGAGGTGTTATTTGCTCTAGAAACAATGATGAAAATGCGGTCCGTTAGAACAAAGATTCCACCACCTCCCTTCTAACATAAACCCCAAATCTCTAAATGGTCTAAACCAGGCACCATCAAAGAGCTTGGCAGCCAGAGAGGCACTAACATATAATCAGATACAGATCGGCCATTAGCTATCTATTAATTAATAATTAAAGAACAGTGTTCAGTTCAAGACAAGCAAGCAGAAAGGTTTTTATATTGAATCTGCTTGTCAACATATGTACTCACTCCTTCACACCTCATTGAATTCCTTTACACAAAGACACTACAGATTATGTATTTTAGGATACAAACCCTGTTGCTAGATGTTAATGCAGCACAATATCATAAATACCACACATAACTGAATTCTGAATATTTACAGTAGTCTTTATAGGACTGAGATAACATTTGAACTGTGCCTTCTAAAACGAATTTCTGTAAACTCCAAAAACATTGTAAGTAATCTAGACATTTGACCTTATCAGTTTATGTCAGACAACCAGCAGCACAATCTCAGTTATATTTTTAAGACCTGCTGCAGCACTTACAGTATATCGATTACTTTCACAGGATGGCAGTGTCTTGGCATGTCTCTGGAAAAATGCGATGTGAAAGGAGACGCGATTGTCTAATACATTTCGTATGTCCTATTGGCACCTTCCTAGAATTATTCTAATCTTAAAATTAAAGAGGACAGGTGCACTTTGTTATTGTGAAAAGCACACTACACTGTACATCTCCCCGTCTGACTGCCCCATGATAACGAAGCCCGTTTGTTTCATGGTTTACTCCGTTTCGATTCCTTGTTGTGACACACAGTATACACGAATCGATTATACTCGAATCGACTGCTACATAGTACCGGCATCTTAATTCAAGTGCCGAAAGAGGAAAAAAAAACCCCGTGATCAGGCACGTGTTTACTGTAACCCACATATTGAAGCAGCCTCGAAATAAAACTTACGAAAAATAGTCATAATTATCACAGCATCCTCGCAGTTTGATGAACGTTTCCATTAGACTGTTTTCATTATTGATGGTTGTTATCATCCGCGGCGCAGCGCTAACATGTGAAGACTTTTAACATATAACTGGAAATACCAAGTGCTGCCGTTCAGATATGAAACGCTCAAACATTATAAAGCTTTCCAGTCGCAGAGGGGCAAAAGCTACAGTTTGAACCTGTTTTCACGCGTCCTGCCGTGTGACAAAATATTGAATAAAAACATCCTACCATCATCACGCACAACGGGCTCAATTGAGCCCGCAGGTACAGTAGGAGTCTAGGGCTCACCTCGAACAGCTGCGGTATCTCTCTCCTGGAGAGGTATTCCCTGGCTTCGCTGCTATTCATGTCTCTGGTCCTCCGGAAAAGAAAGGGATCGACACAATGTCCAGCCTGTCAGTTTTGTTCTGACGTTGTTGTTGTTGTTGTTGTCGTTCTTTTCACCTGGAGCTTTAAGACTGGAAACCCTGGGCATGAAACTCCACAGGCAGTTGCTCAGACCGTCAGGTGCATTTTCCTGGCGGCTGGAAAAAGAGGAATCCCACAAGGCGATTTCTCTCTTCTCCGCGGCGAGCAGCAGCCTATTGATTTCACTGTGACATGCTGGGCTTTTTTTAACCAGCCCCTTGTCTCATAGTCATATCGCCTACTTAAAGAACTGACGGGATCCAACGCAATGCCTTAAAATGAACATCCGTCATGTCATCCGCAGCCGGGAGGGGATTCAGGAAAGCCTGTTGCCAAGAGTAAATGAAGTTAATGTTAACGTAACCTAGCGCTCTTGATCGGGAAAACGCTCCTTCAAGGCGAACCAATGAATGAGACGGGCATGAACAAGACTGCAATAAAAAAAAAACAACAACAAGACGAAATCGTGGTAGCTGAAAATCAAATGTGCTAATAACATTTGAGCCAAAAGAACATACTGTCAATGGGTCCCGCTTTACTTTCCTGTAGTTTGAATGTTCATTGACTTTTGAGGAGTTAGCTAAACGCTCCTTTTTCGAACAGTATCACTTTTCTTATATTCTATCTGCTAATAAATACGATATCGTCAAACGGTATTTAGCTTTTGTACAGTAATTCTATACATTCCACATATATACTAAGGAGGGCTATGATAAATATTTGGCTAGAGATGTGGATTCTTCCCTCTGAATTCTTTGGATAACTCACACAGTACCCAACTGGGAAGTGTAAACCAGCAGTGATGACATGTTTTACTAACATATATAAATCTATAACCATTTCCAAGTGCATACAAGGAAACACCAGTGTAAAGGCACTTTAATAGGGCGCTGGGTCACCACAGACTGCCTCCATTCCCCATGGCACAGAGTCTACCAGCATCTGGGGTTCGGCAGGAGGGAGGCAACATCACTGTTCCCTGTAGAAAGTCACGCCTGGCCAAAGCAGCTGGAGAACAGGCTTGACTGGGTTCAGATCTGGCAACTGAGACGGCCATGACATCCTGTGTGGATAACATTGGGACGTCACATGGGCTCCATGGGCAGAAAGCAGGAAGGAGATGCTGCACCATGGGGAGATGAAGTACTGATCAGCACTGACCTTGCCTTCCGGGGGAACCAGTGCACTGAAACTCCAGTCTAGGTGGGGCTGCACACTGGTGGGGGTGGAGGGGATCCCCATGACCTGTACAGCGCTTTGAGTGGAGTGTCCAGAAAAGCGCTATATACAGTAAGTGTAAGAAATTATTATTATTATTATTATTATTATTATTATTATTATTATTATGCCATGCCAGGAGAATGTGTCCTATAGCCACCTGACCTGAGCACTCAGGGTGGAAGAGTTCTGTAGACCGGCACCACATGAGCACTTGTCTGTTTGTCAGGAACATGGCGGAGGATGATGCTTCTCCCACTTCTCCACTGGCCTCACGAACGAGCGTGGCCAGCAGGTGTGAAGAGCAGCCTGTGCTCAGTAGCCTGAACGTGGCTTCCTGCTCGGGGGAGGTCTTGGAAGCACGCTTTTGCTGAAACGGGCTGCTTCGCGTTGGCCGTGCTGACATCACTGGGGTACTGACCTCTCCCCGGACACTGCTGTTCATGAAAAATCAACATGAAGAGCTGTCTTTGTCACTGAGGTTCCTGCAATCACCTCTCTTTCACAGTCACTGAGGTCTCCTCAGGCAGCCACGATTGCAGGCAACCAGGCCTGTCGAGCATTTTTATACTGTACCTGACCCTAGCATTCAGGCTGGATATTTGCTGAATTCATGCACAAACTCCCCATCTGGAAGTCCTTTCCTTCAGTGTGCTTGGCGTCCTTCATCCAGGTGTTTGGTGTGGTACTTTTTTGTCCAGTATCATACTACGTATTGTCTGGTTTGGGCATTTTCCTGTTTCCATAATGTAGTGTTGCTTCGGGGCAATACTTATTAGAATACTCTGTTGGGGCCTAGTCACCTCCCTGCCAAAAAAAGCACCGTGGTTTGGGGGAAACTCGAGGTATGACCACAGGAGTCACCACTGCAGAGGTGGGGAACAAGCCTGATGACGCTACTTTTCTTTCAAATTAAACAAGCTTTGAAGTTTAAATGCTCAAACATTATAGAGTTATATGAGCTCTTCGCCGTGCCTTACATGCGTAAAAAAAAAGAAAAATAATTATACCCGCTTATCCTGTTCCGGCAGATACAAGTTTGTATTTCCAGTCGATGGAGTGCAACTTTTCTGTCTCGTTGCCAAATATCTGTCTCCCTCTGGTGGTCTGACGACGCACGGACACGTTTGCCTACAAGAGCTCTCAGTGACCGAAGTCATCGCACTCTCCCTGGCGGAGTGGTCAAGATCACATTTCTGCGTTTAAATAGAACAACCCCTGGGTTTGTGGGTTAACCCACGTCAATTCAACTGACCGTTGTCATTATACGTCTCAGATTTTGATGTAGTTGGACATTATGTAAAAATCTGAAATTCGAGTGTTCAACTAGTAATTAGATATGACTGTTTACATAGGAGCAGCCTTTTTTACTGTCTGAATAAAGGGCCTAGGTCTTTTTAAAAGCCAGTTACGTTAGCTTAAGCATCATAAATAGAATGGTGTATAAGGTAAGACAGTTTCAAGCTGAGAAGTACACAGAAGGGAGTCCTAAATCTAATAAAACTACAATATGGGTTCTTTATTCCTAAAATATAAGCAATTATATAGGGAAAAAGGTTTCTTGACAGACAGACATTATATTTGAGATACTGATTCTGTTCCATTTAGTATGAAGACATGAATTTCACAAATGTTTCTCATAAATAATTTTACCTACTCTTTAAAGCCACTATAATATCAATTGTAGTCTATTGTAGATGAAGATAAAACAATAAAGACTTTTCTAGGTAATATTTGTATGCAGGAAGAATCATTCCCCTTTACACTGAAACACTTCAAGACAATGTCTCACATACTGTAAGTACCTAACAGTGATGATGGCTGAAAAAGAGAAGGACACAACTTCAGTGGACATTAGCAGACAATGATGATTTAACTTGGATGAGCACCCATAGAATTCATTAGTCAAAATTCAGAGCAAAATGTGGCTTCCACCTCAGCAAACCCTGCACAGTGACTTTTAAAAGAAACCCAGAGAAAAATAATGTAGTGGTAAACATTTTAACTGTTTAGGAATTTAGATCAGGAGCAATAGGAGATGAAGTTATACAGTTGTATTGAATACATATCAATGTATAAAAAATCCTAAAATTTTGGTTGATTTAATACTTTGTACCATCCAAGAAAAACTTTGTGGTTGTGACTTGAAAATTCCAATTTCTGGAAAACTACTGGAAATTCCAAATGGAATTTTCATGGACGTTCCACATTCTGGCTGGACACATAGCAAAAATAATCTATAAACCCTGCACAGCTGGAGAAGGGTTAGTAAACATTTACCATTTATTTTATACCATTACAGGACTTTGAACCTATATAAATGCCTTTACTAATTACTTAACTGGTACTTCATTTCTTAAGGTGTAAAAGAGGCTTTTATGCTGTATGAGAGACGTTTAGGTCACAAAAGAATGGAAGATTTAGCTAGTCTCTCCCATTCGTTAAAGTGCTGTGTTCAATAATTAGTGAGTTTCATTATTTTATGGTAAATCTTACGAATAAAATCTCCCTCGAATACATTACAGGTACATCTGATTGGTCCTTCATGGAAAGAATCCACACGGAAGTATTTTAGTGACACACAGGAAGTATCTACACTTCCGGTCCCCCCCCTTCTCTAAGAAAAGATGTCTGTTTGCAGTTTGTGTTTTGGATTCTTTGTTTTATTCGCATTATTTCTTGATCCTGCACCTGTGGCAACTGATTCGGTTGAGGTATACTGTTTATTGTTAATATATGCACTGCTTGACACGTGATGTCGGCATTTGTAAAATCTTTTTTGTTCATCTGAAGGAATCGACTAGCTACCGGATAGTTTTTTAATGAATGAAAGCGATAGATCATCTTGAAATATTTTCATATAGTTTTAGGCGTGGTACGATAAGCATTTCAGTGTTTTTGTAATTAAAAATAATCTCCCCGTACTCTGTGGCTTCGGACGTTATTAGTCTATGGAAATTAGACGGTTTTCTTCATTCTAATACTGAAACAGTACAGCACGTATTTTTCTGAGGAGTCGTGCTGTTGGTATCTTAGCCCATAAAAATGACCTCAATACTGAACAGTGAAACTAGGTTTGAGTGCCTGTATGTGAATGCGTTATGTGCTGTCTTGCACTTTCATAGAAGATGCGACAGAAGTCAAAATCGAATTCGATAAATCGTGTGCTGGTTAGCTTTGGTAAAAAAAAATCCTTAACTTTGATTTGTGTTTGAAATTCCTTTTGAATTACGTTTTCTCAAAAAACAATCTGTTTGTAGATGGTGTTCAGACAATTGCTGATTTATGCAACTTAATAGTTATTTTAATGGTGATAAACCGTAATCAGAATACTTTGTTGCGTGACATGTTTAATAAGAATAATCTCAATAAAACTTAACTTCTGTAGTAACAGTCAGGAGAACTGAGCTGAATACATTTCTGTGTAATCTGTCAATGGCAGTGGTTCCCCAACCCTGGTGCTGAAGTAACACAGTCGTTTGGTTTTTACACCAGTTCTTCAGTTCAGTCTAATTTATTTCAGTTTTTCAGCTCTTAAAATGTCAGAGGGGTTTTGTACTTGGTATCAGCCCTTTACCAATTTAATGTTCTAGTAAGAGCTTTTAGACATGACAGCCAGCAAGTTCGGTGTGCTGGGGCTGTTAGAAACAGTACTCTTGAAGTAAGAGCATATTCAACACCCAGGACTGACCGGAGAAACCAGTTAAGTAAAATTCGAAACAAGCAGGCAGATCAATGAAATCATCAATTCGCAGTGGAGATATAGAACTCTGCTGGAATGAGAACCATCAGCCGGTGTTTCTCCAGGACTTGAGTTCGGAGCCTCTCGTTCTTTGGGTTTTTATATATGAGGCTTCCTGTAGGAACTTACTTCGGTCACCTGTAGCCTCCGATGCGGGTAGCTAAAATGGCCCAGTGTTTCGTAAACCTTACAGGGACATCCTCGATAAGCTAACCAGTTTTTATTACATTAAGCTTACAGCTGTTGGTGTTTTTAAAGTAAGACACTTACTAACATAAGTACTAACTTTAAGTGTATTAACTGCCTAGTCCTGGTACCAGGGGGCCACACACCTGCTTTAAGGCTTCAATTAGGTAATTAAGCTCAACTGGAATGAAAACCAGCTGGTGTGTGAGGTCTCCCAGGACCAGTAGTGGGAAGCCCCAGCTTATGTCAGCTGTTTTCTCCGACTCCTAGGCAAAAGCCAACCAGTTTTTCAGAAGTGGACACACGAACAACTGGGCAGTTCTGGTAGGTGTTCTGGTCTTGACTGGTTTTCAGAGTATTGCAGAGTGACACCTGCTGGAGTTCAGGGAAGTAGTACAGAAACGGTATGTGTAACAATAGGTTAAATCTGATCTAGCCTGCGAGTATGAAGTGAGGTCTCACCTGAAATAATCTGTGCTGTATATAAGTATTTGTGGAAAAATACCTTCAAGCACTGTTTTTACAATATATTTGATGAAAACACATTGTGTCACAGAATTAATACATAGAAAATAACTAAATATAAGAACTGGTATAATACTGTAGCATGAGGTAAAAGCTAATTAAAACTAGTCCTTAACTAAACAATAGGTGATTTTTTTTTTACTGTAATTGTTTTTGGTGATGTGGGAGATATGATCAAGTTTATCGATGATTGCTTACCAATGTTTTGTCAACCAGTTATCTCAGGTTTTATTAATAATTCTTGATACGCATGGTACACGTTTGACGTGTGTCATTATTGACCTGTTTATTTTACCAAGGTTTGTACGTCCAGATTCTGGTTCAACTATCGCCATGTGGCCAATACTCTTTCTGTCTACCGGAGTGTCAAGCGCCTGGGGATTCCTGACAGGTACGCAAATCTAATACAGGGGTTCCCAGTGCTTAAATTAATTAATTACATTAGGCTTAAATTAATCCTTAATTGTGTTTCTTCATTGGATCCTGTAAGAGTCAAGTTTTGTTTCCCAACTCACAGGCTGGAGATCTTAAGTTACCTAAACTTAATAGTTTCTAGAAACACAGTAATTAAAAGGCAACCTCCAATATGTCTGGAAACTGAAAACAAGTAAACACTTTAAATTAAAATGATCCAGTCTATTAAGGGTTGAAAGATGTAACTGTGTACTCGGGTGGAACAAAAACCCACAGATGTGTGGGTCCCCAGGACCAGTATTCTTAATTAAAAATATATTTTCTTTTAGCCCTGCAAACCTCTTGGTGCTCAGTGCAGTTCATTCGGTGGCGAATGGGTTATCTTTTGAAGCTTATTTTTTAAAGTGCCCTTCTTGTTCTCGGAGAATGATTTTTTTTTTTTAGATATTCTAAGTTGTCAGGTTTTGTTCTGGTAACAGGAGAGAGTGTCATTTTACATCACGTTTAGTCTGTGATGCGTGCCCCCAGAGGAGCCCGAGATGAAAGAATTTTATAAAAGACAAAGCAGGCTGTCTTAATGCGCCTTTCTAGTTTTACTAGAAGGATGCCTTTCCCTAGAGAAAAGTGGGGCCTGTGAGGGATGGCAACTACAGATTTACAGGTAGAAAAAACATAAATTATTAAGATAAGACAGAAAGCTCAGACCTGGAAGAAGTTACTTATGCAAAAGACTTATGATGTTTACTAGGTGTTGACACATTTTTATCTAGATGAGGTGGTTAAGGGTTAAACAATATAAAAGAAAAACATTGCGCTATATAATGAATGTAAAACAAGGAATGCTGCAGTGCGCTAGAAATAATTCATTTATAATATTGTGTACAGTTTTTGACTACTATGTTCGAAAAAGGTATTGCTGTTCTGAAAAGAGTTCATGGGCTTAAAGGAATGCCCTGCACTGAAAGTAGAGAAATGTTTTGTAGTCTTGGAACAGAAAAGACTCCGAGGAGACCAGTCTCAGGCAATGACAAAGTCAAACCGTTCAGCTTCTTCAGAATAAACAGTGAAACACAAAAATAGAGGACGTGCTGTAATAATAATGATTGGAAACTAGGAGGCACTGCATCTGAAACTGACTAATGGAGGCAGCCTTTCTGCATGTAGTGCCAGGGCTGGTTCTGCTAGCCACATGCTGCCGAAGATGACCACCTGGCTTGGACTTGGAGATCCTCAGATTTTAACTTGGCTGCTAACAAGCATATGGGCTAGATGGGCTGTCTGGCCTTCCCATCTCTAACCTTTAAGTTCTTATGTGTGTAAGTGCAGCACAGAAGACTTGCTGCTAAAAGAATTGCAATGAGAATGAAGGATTGAACCGTAATTCTTGGGGGGGATCAAAGGGGATTTGATATGACCAGGCATATGGGTTACAAGTGTTATTGGTCTGCTTTTAATAGTGTATTTTCTCATTACTTTCACTCAGGTTAAATTGCTTTAAGCAGCAAGATCCTTATAACACTGTACCTAAAACAGTCACACCGGCACTTACACTGTCAACAGATGAAAGCATGTGTACTACTACTGTTCACACAGCTACTGCTAATAATAAATCATACATTTTATATATATATATCCTTGAGGACAGAATTCCAGAGTTTTGGGGTGTAGCAAGAGAAGGCCTTGTTACCCATAGAGTGAAGACAAAGCAATACATAACTGTTGTGTACTACTGAGCTCGTTTCAGGAGTCAAAAGAACATCATAATAGAGCTTTATTATATATAGTGCCTTTGAAGTGAGTTCTCAAAGTGCTTTACAGAAAAAAAAAACACAATGAGAGGAGACAGCAGAATTACACAGTTACAATATATTATTAATTCTCAACTCCGTGAATTATTAATGATTGTAAGTTCAGTCTCCAAACTACAGGAGGTAAAAACCAGTCTGTCTTGGCTCTTGGAGCTGGTTCTTTTTGCTTTTGAAAACTTAACAAGCATCATTCATGACATTCCCACAGCCTTGAGGATCGAAGTGTTTCTATCTGGAAAGCGTGCATGAAAAAATTATTTGTCAAGCCCACAGATTCACAAGAGGCAGCGTGCAGGGGTCCAAAGCTTGCCACCATCTGTTTCATTACAGTCCTTTGATTTTTAAAGTACACGATTCATTTCTTTGGCTGCACTGTTCTATCTTGCACTTGTCGCTAGTTTCTAAATGGATGGCCCATGAGCTGTGTGAAGGGGTGGGTGGTATGAATTATTAATAAATGAGCATTAAACTAGTGTCTTTTGACATTTAAATGACTCCACACTCCGGGACTGAATTCGTGGTATGCTTCTTCAGCAGAATGTGTTCTGCTTTCTGCAATATATTGCAGAAACTTTTTGGCTGAAGCCATCAGTTTTCTGCATCTCATTTTCATATTTCTGAAATTCATTAAAAAGTTTGCCAAAGAACCCTCCGCTGTCCTTGGTTTCAGTTAGGTGCCCATTTACAGCACGCTGCTTCAGTGAAAGTGTGTGCGTGATAAGTACAGTAACTGGTGAAAAAGCAGTGAATTTGCAGTCACTGCTATTTTTTCGCTTATTCTAGGCATTCAAGTGGACAATTTTGTTTTTGCAAATCAGTATGACTAAATCACAGAGAGAATTGAGTTTTTGTTTGTTGTGATGCTCTCTCCATCTTCCCCTTTTGTACTTAAATAATTCTAGAAATATACACTAGACACAAAGTGTTGGGAAATGATGCCTTGTACGTCATGTAAGTGTATCTTGTCTTTGTTTTTAAGCCGTATTGTGCTAATGCTGGCAGATGACATGGCCTGTAACCATAGAAACCCCAAGCCTGCTACAGTCTTCAGCCACAAAAACATGGAGCTCAACGTGTACGGGGATGACGTGGAAGTCGATTACAGAGGATACGAGGTGGGCACTGGTGATGACACACGTGGTCTTTTTCAAGGTGTTGCCGAAGAAGCGTTTGTTTCCTGATGCTAGCAGTTGAATTGTGTAAGTTTAGATCAGTAGTTTCAAACTCAGTCCCAGGAGCTGCCTGTGTTTTGTTGTTTTGTTCCAACCTGTGTAGTCCTTCAGGCGGTGAACTTAATTATGTTCTGAATTAGGTGTCTGTAGCAATTTTTCAAAATCACATGTTACAAAGGCCACTCAGTTTGGGGTGCAAGTCACCTCAGAGCCTGGTTAGAGGTATTGATGCTAAAGTGACTGGAACCATGGTTTAGACTGTCAAAAACAGGATATTGTTGGTAGTCGGTGTTTAATCTTTGGAATTCAGAGTACACTATTTCTTACTGAGAAGCTAAGAGTCTGAATTTATTTTTGTCAAACTTTTTATTATTGGTGAATCTCTAGGAATGCTGCATCAGTATGAATGTTTATTTAATAAAGATAAGAGCTTTCCCTGGCTGCTCCGCCTTCTGCCCTGTGCATGTGTTGTTTGCTCTAATGGAGACCCTTGATTCTTTGTGACATCTGTCTGCAAACATGAATCTGTTTTTCTTTATTTACAGGTTACTGTTGAGAATTTCCTGCGTGTCTTAACTGGTCGGTTGCCTCCGAGTACCCCTCGGTCAAAACGCTTGCTTTCTGATGACAGGAGTAACATACTGATTTATTTAACTGGTAGGTTTGATGCAAGAAGAGGCCACCTTTCAACACAGTATTAGCTTCCACAGTTTTCTAGACTACTGTTTGTTCTTGAAACATTAGTTGGGAGTGCTGGTTTTTTTCTCTCTTCATGCACACAAACCTGAATTACTCAATTCAGACATTTTAATGAAATAACATTCAAAAATATCCACTATTGTAGTAAAGGAGACCTCAGTGAATGATCATCATTAAGCACTGTACTGGGTTGTATTTTAAGGTAACAAAAATGTGTGGTTTGGAAATGAGGTTTTATTCTAAATTGTACTGTTATTTACCTAAAATGACCATTCCAGGCTTCATTCAACGCAATGTCCTCCTAAATTTGTTCCACATGTTTACAAATTGATCATTTCAGAACATCCTACTGGACTGTGGCTACCTAGGACCCGTGTTGGACACAAATATTGCATAATAATTAGTGTTCTGTGTTTTGGGTACTTATTTGACGATGACCTTTACCCTTTTATAAACAAATTAACAGCCATTGCATCTTCACTAGATCTCAGTTTAGCAGAACAAGTACAGTCTTACAAGTACAGGATGTTGTTCATCATTAATTATACGTCTCGTTAAACGGCTGTCATAAATCAATGTGCAGCCATATACGTCTATGTTGTTAGGGGAGCAGCAGCACTGAAAGCCAAGTTAAATGGGCTGTGGGATTAGTGATCAGAGTCACCTGTGAACTGTGCTGGAGAGATGGATGAGGATAAATGCCCGGCAGCTTTATTTGCTCGCCTTAGCACATTTTTGGTGCTTTCAACTGGGAAAGGGAATAGGTCAGAGGGAGGTTTAAAGGGCTGTGATGTGGTACAAAATCATTTTGAAATGCTATCAATTCTAGCACGTTTCTTGCTGTGCGAACGCTATAGTATTTGTGGAAGGCCTGCAGCACAGGCAGTGCTTTCGCTGCAGTACAGGGTTCTGTGTTTTCACACGCGACATTGGCCCTGTCCCTTGCCGTCGTTTCCCGTACAGGTCACGGAGGGAACGGCTTCTTGAAATTCCAAGATTCCGAAGAAATCAGTAACGTGGAGCTGGCTGACGCGTTCGAGCAGATGTGGCAGAAGAGGAGGCAAGTGAGGCCGCGGAGAGCTGGGGGGGAGGGAAACGGGTGATGGTTTCGCAGGTGGCTGTTGAATCCCTAGCAGCCGAAAATTCCACCGTGAAATCTTTCTCCTGAGGAGCACGAAAGCTGTCTCAGAGTCTCGAATGACTGTTATCCGAACAAGGTCTGTTGACGAGCTGCAGGAAGGTGTAACTATGGTGTTTTGTGGCAGCACCAATTGTTTTGGGGGCTGTTGGCGAAGCGGCCAGGGCTCCCGGCTGTGATGATGGCTGCGAGTTGCTTCACTGTCCGCGTCGCGTCCTGGTCACCCTCGGGGGCTCAGGGCACCTCGAGCCGCAAGGCGATCCAGACACACGGGCACACGGGCACTCTCCAGAGTCCCGAGAGCAGAAGCCACGTGTTTGTGCTGGAGGAGACCACACACACGTGACGGCCACTGCGGCCCCTGGCAGGGTGTGCTTTGCGTCGCCTGTGAGCTTCTCTTGGGTATCTGAGCCTGTTTTTGTTTATTTATTTCCTCCTCTGGGTCTGTCACCTTTTTTTTTAAATCTTTTGCTTTTCTTGTTTGACTTTGCAAAGTGCATATATATATATATCGTGAGCTTCTTATAAACTCGAACTGTTAAACATCGCTGGGGCACTTCGGAAGATGGAGGCCAGCTCCTGCTTCAGGCAAGAACCTGGAATCTTTTATTCAGGACCGAGTGGAAGAGTCCGTTTACGGGGGAGCTGTCCATGATATCCCAGTGCCAGTTCTAAGGGGTCACTCGGGTCTATCTTGTGGTGGCATGATCCCTGTACCTCTCCTGCCATCCCTGGCCCCCCGGTTTAACTCGGAATAACCACCAGGCAGTACTACAGTGTGCTTGTTAGCACTGTTCCGCGCGCTGCTCGACCTGTGCAACCCCAGGCTGCCATGACTTGCTGCACTCACAGCTTCCGAGCTGTCCAGGCCAGGCCTGTCAGTATTTGCCCTCTAGCTCTGTTCCCTTTTCTGCCCCAGAACGTTAGGATTCACCACTAGTGGCCCGGCACTGATTCTCTTTGCTGTGCCAAATGACTCTCCGTTTAGTAAGCAGTGTGTCTTCGGCCTCGTCAGAGATTTAACTTTGGAGACCGTTTAATGAAACGGGTGTAGAGAAGTGAATGTGCCTTATTCCAAGGGCTACTCTCCACGCTGTCGGCATGTAGAATTTTTATCTCATTAGATTTTTTTCCCCAAGATTTTAAAGGGAGCAGTAGGTGATCTGTTCTGATAATTACGTAATGCAAAGCAGTTTCTTTTTTGCTTGCAGATTTTATGGAAAAGCTCGGGGATGGTTTGATAAATGATGTGTGATGTGACTGGAGGACTGGTTACTTTAATGTGTTGGCTTTAGTGTGGGGTGGCAGAATGCACAGAAGTTTTGTAATTACTTTTTCACCTCAGTACAGCAGGTAAGATAGCGATGAAGGCGTATAGAATATATATGCATTGTCATCACCTAGCTGTCGTATCAGGTTACAGCATAAAATGATCCTATATGCGTTTGCCGTTGTGAACTTGCTGCCATAAAATGTTTCTGTAATCCATAACCTAGAAAAAGTGCAGGTTTTGCAATGTAAATCCACTGGTAGATGGCTTGGCTTTTGAGATCGGGGGGGGGGATTTAGTCAGACGTACAATGGTTTCCAGTTTTGTCTGCGTCTGTTTCAGGCACCATTTGCTGTTGTAACAGCGGGGGAAAAAACCTCGCATTTAAATTCCTTCTCCGCATAGAAAATGAGCCCTTTTCGGTAGCCATGGCAACCTCCGTTTGAAAATGATGCCACCTTTTGCGCGGCGGTGTGCTCTCGAGCAACAAGACGAGGGAAAGAGCTAACAGCCACGGCCCTTTTCTTCCAGGTACAATGAGCTGCTGTTCATCATTGACACTTGCCAGGGTGTCTCGATGTATGAGAGGTTCTATTCTCCCAATGTGATGGCCCTGGCCAGCAGCCAAGTTGGAGAAGACTCCCTTTCAGTAAGGCTCGAGCCCTGCGATCCTTTATGTGGTCTGTCGGAGGACTTCACAACGGGAGTGGGGAGGATTTGCGGTTAATTAGCCCCCGGTTTGGTTAAGGGCTCTCCTCTGTTATTGGCTCTATTTGAGCAGTGCACTGTTAAACATGTGCATTAGCACGCCTTATCTAAAATTTCAAGTTTAAAGAATGACACTTTGTGCCTAGTGGATATTTCGAGCTACCCAGTTATTGTCCCACTATAGTTCATACTAAAACTTTTCCTAATTACCTTGTCTAAGTGTACTCTTTTATGACAAGATTTATTTTAAATTTTGTTCTGAGTGTTTAGCATAGGATGCTTCGTTAGCCCTCCCCACTACTGTGTTCCCAAACCATATCAGTGCTTTGCACAGGAATTCATGGCACCTGAGACGTACAAACCTTGTTGTATTGCAGCACCAGCCGGACCTGGCGATTGGAGTCCACCTGATGGACAGATACACCTTTTATCTCCTGGAGTTCCTGGAAGACATTCACCCAGCCAGTCAGGCAAACATGAACGATCTGGTAAGAACCGTCTTCATTTATCCTGCTGTGCTCAGAGTGCTTGCGAGCAGAAGGATCTTGGAACGGTGTTGGAGTCCATATGGTGGTCAAAGTAGGGTCTGTGTAGCTCCTCATGTGTTCAATTGTAGGGCATCTACTTCTGTACCACATGATTTTAGTTAATTAAATTGACAAGCCTTTTAAAAGTATAATCTTGAAGTGCATTTTGAGAGCAAACCTAGTTTATTTACCTCACAGTTACACTGTTGCAGTGTAATTCTACTTTAAAACCAGTTGGGGCTTGAAAAATGAATGCTGCCAGCAGGTTTGTTGTAATTTTTGTCACCATGTTATTGTCATTTAGCATGCAAGAGGCTTTGAATATCTTAAACATGGTTCACTGCAATATATACTGTACCTGCTGTAATCTCCCGAGAGCTTGTTTCTCAAGCAGAATAGTCTGATTGGTGAAATGTACTGAAGCTCATGACTCTGTTGGTGTATTTTGGCCCAGACCTACACTAGCACAACTATTTTACTTTCAATTAAATTTGTGAAGTTCAACCCCATCCATTTTTTGTTATCAATACAGTCTTTCTATGGTGCCACTATCAATAACAGAAAACGATGAGTAACTCTTCTTTTAAACAATGTAAGACATCGTAAATGTTGGTTATTCACTTTGAGAGGTTTGGGACAAGCTTTTTTTAATATTAATTGGACGAGCTAATTAGTGAGAAGATCTGAGACGCCACTTCAGGGGCCATTGTGGAATCTGTTGCATTTCAAGTTGCCCTGGGGTAAGCGGAGCTCATCTCTGTATTAAGCTTGAGTGGGGTTTAAGAACCAAGGAGAGTTATTAATTTTTCAGTCCCAACAAGGATGGGCTCCAAACATGATCAGTGATACAGATGAAAGGCAGAAGTCAACTTGAAAGAGAATTAATAAAGCTGCTTGTAGATTAGGGTCTTTTGAAAACGGACATGGAAGACCTTTGTGGAGTGCTCTTTTTTTATTATTTTCACTTAAACTTTACCGAAGCTGGCAGTAACGTTGGCCCCTGATGACCTTCCTCAGTCATCCCTTGCTGACAGTTCAGAAACAAGGAGAGTCTTTAAGATACCGACTGGCCAATGTATTCGTTTATAAACCTGTGTTTGAAATCGCGGGCCTTGGCCGTGTTCAAGTTCAGCTTTAGTTTTTTTTTTTTTTTTTAGCGTTCATTACTTTTAAAAGCTGGAGTTTCTCATTGGTTTGGGATTAGTAGTGTTCCAGCTTTGAGAGAAAACCGACAGATTTTTATCTGGAGTGCTTTTCCTAATCGCTCTGGGTTGATCAGATTAGAGAGGCCCTCTGATAAAGTGTTTTTGTGCTCAATTTTTGAAAAGCTCCGAGGTCACCAGTATTTGCAGGATGTTGAGGGGGGAGGTGTATTTCGTTTTTATAGAAGTAACATTTATTTTGGGGAAAAAACATAATATATTTTTTAAATCTGTCCATTTTACAAGGGGCAGCCTTTTAGGAAGAAGGAAAAAAACAGATCAATCGATTCTTGAAAACAGCTTAAATACAAAGACTGATATTTGCTTAGTGAACAAAAAACTGCCACAATGTTTTTATCTTTTATAGTTTTAATTGATCCTGTGTGAAATGGGGTTATACGAAATAAAAGTGGTTTTAGGTCCTTCCATTTTATTAAGGCATTAGAGGATTGACCACTTATAAATATATGGCTTTGAATATATGTCTGTTGTCTTTTTGCTTCCTACTTACCTTGTTAAATATCAATCCTGGTGAAAATCAAGGAAGAAACGTGTAGAATGCAGGGCAGATGGGTTACTTCCTGTGCAACCCCTTTCTGCTGTCTGTATATTGGAGGTTGGACTAACTGAGCACAGTTACACTCCCCATCTGTGTTCACGGTTACCCACACATGCTCTTAGCCTGTGATTTTCACAGCAGACCACCTATTGATCTGCGGTCGTTGTGACAGATGTTAATCTGCATAATGAGTTTACCCATGTCAAATCTGTTTACTAAAATGTTAGGGCCTCTACGATAATATTATTTCTCTAGTGAATATCTTTGTTGGGTGGCTGCAGTTACAGGTTTCTTTTGATGCTCAGCGGATTTTGTATTTTAAGCTATGGCTTGTGAGTCCACACATTTGCTGAATGTTTGTCATTTCGATAAGCAAGGCGCTACGTTTTATGCAGATCTAAATTTAAACCTTATCGAAGCACCTTCTAATCTATCTTTACCTTTTGGGGAAAATAACAAAAGCATAAAACGAGCATAAGGAATTAAACATAGTTAATGACAAAAAAGATGCACAGAGTTAAACTTACTAGATAAAGGTAACTTGTTCGCCTAGTTAGAGATTTCTAGGGACCTCAAAACAAAAAAAAATGTCTGCGTAAGTGGAAAAGACTGTAGGGATTCTTTCCAGTCCCTGTGTGAAGAGGAGCTGTGACATGTTTCAGGAGGGTGTGGGTGGCAAGAAGGAGACTGTGGGACTGATTAGAAAGTTATAGATTCAAGACTGGGTACAAGAGAGGCTGATGACTCACACAGGTAGGAGTTGAATGTTGGCGAAAAGTCACAGAAAAGATTACACTGGAGAGACAAAGTGACACTTCTCTCTCTGAGCAGAGCGTGCTTGGGCAAGAGAGATTTTGCCAGCCGTTTACAAGTGCTGCTGAACTGTGGCACTTGGTAACTTCATATTTATTATCACAGAGCTCCTTTCCTTATCAGTTTCTGTAGACTGCTAATTCAGTTGCACAGTAGACTATGGCCATGCCACTCGCTCATTATGTAACAAAGTTTTTTTTTGCCATCGAAGTGCATGATTTTCTGCCTACATATAATAATGTTCGGACTGTTTTTAAGCCCAATATTATGTAAATGCTTTCTTTGCAATTGTTTAACATGCCTGCATACGCACACACTTCCCACAATCAAAGGACCGCTCTGAATGAAGATATAGTTGCACCTAAAGAATCTCAGGCCGAAGATGGTCATGAGGATGTGAGAAAAACTACAGAAGGACACCGTTTGGTCCACCGTGTTGCTTTGGTTACCAGTAGATGATGGATCTATGGAGGATGGATGCCATTTCGTCATAGATCCATGATCTGTAAGAGCACGGTTCCTACAATGTCTAATTAAATCAAACCAACTGGCACTGCTCATAAGACTAGGGATATATCCTGGTTCGGATTAGTTGAAGCAGTTTCTCCCTTTATACCTACAATAATCTGCAGGTCTGTTGTGTTTATGGTACACAAAGCCTGCCCTGAATCACCTGAGTGAGTGCTGCACGTCAGTGGCCCCCCTCCTGAATGTTGAAGACCTTTGGCATCCTTTGAGAGGAAAAGCTCTATATAATTGCAGTTATTAACGCTACACTTCATTTTTTTTTTAAACCGCGAAATGTATTAATCAGTAATAAAGAGGTACCTACTGTATGCATGCACAGCTGGGTTTTGATTGTAAACTAATGATCTCTGTGCGTGGCCTCAAGATTCAATTATTTTTTAAAAAGCATGAAATTCCTATCGGGTTTCATTTAGCAATCAGTCCTTCGTTTAACAGGAGGTGGTGAGCTGACCTGTCGTGGTGAAAGTAGCAATCTATACTGTAACCCCAAACCTAATGGGTTGAAAAGGCTATGCTGTGTTTTCAAGGATAAAATTTAATTAGAAATGCACTTGCAAAATGCTGCTTGTGTGTGTGGGGAAAAATAGCTCCACCCTGATTATTTGAGTTTCCTAATTGCGGTTGTGAAATGCTTTGCCTGTAACCTCTCTCAATCTTGCTTGCCAGTTTAAAGTGTGTCCGAAGAGCCAGTGTGTCTCCACTCCTGGCCACAGACGGGACCTGTTCCAGAGGGACCCTGGCAGTGTTCTCATCACAGACTTCTTCGGTAGTGTTCGCAAAGTGGAAATCACAACGGAGACTGTGAGCTTGACTCCCAGCGTTCCCGAACAGCAGGACGAGTAAGTAGTGGCAGAATAATAATGTAATAATGATAATGTCGCTTTATTAGCCCAATACAATTTCTTGCATTAGGAATTCATCTTTTCGCATACCCCAGCTTGCTCTCCATGAGACACAGACACACAGACAGGGAGAGAAGCTTTAGGTCAGAGCACAGGGTCTGCCATTGTACAGCACCCCTAGAGCAGCTGGGGTTAAGGGCCTTGCTCAGGGGCCCAACGGAGTAGGATTCCTCTGCCGGCTGCAGGATTTGAACAGGCAAACTTCCAGTTACAGGCACAGATCCTGAGCCACAGAGCCAATACTGGTGCCTATAACAGGAACTGCATTAAAGTAAATACTGTTGCTGACCTCTTTGGCGATTGTGGTATAAAAGTTACCGACATCTTTAAGTGTTATCAAACACAGTTTAAGAGTATACAATGCAGGAGCTATGGGAAATCTGCCTTTCATATGCTGTGCTTTTCACATTACAAGTCCTGCTGGCAATTTGCAAGAGCCGGAATGGGGATATCGATCTCTTAATGACCTCTTAATAACCAGACAAGTGGTACATGTGAAAAGTGAAGCATGGCAATATTGTCTTTTTTTTTTTTAAGTGGAGTAGAAAATTAAAACATCACAGGACTGCCGAAGGGGATTCCTTTTTAAATTAGTGTTATTAAATGTTAATTATCCCTTCTGAGAAATGGGTTAGCTTCCTCTATGTTTCAAGCTGGTATCCTCGCTAATAAATCTGACTTACAAAACAAAACATTTATTGTATGGACACTTTGTTGATTCTGTCCGGTATTGGCAGATTTTTATCAGCCTCTGCCCCGGTTTGGTGAAAGTAACACTCTTATTTTGCAGTGTGCAGTGTGCAGTGTGCAGTGTGCAGTGTGCAGTGTGCAGTGTGCAGTGTGCAGTGTGCAGTGTGCAGTGTGCAGTGTGCAGTGTGCA